GAAAGGCATCGGGGAGGCAAAGGAAGATGAGAAGAGAGCTTAAATTATATGCTGACCACAGTCATTTTTGTCTGATTCTTTCCTCAAACACCCCCTTTGGGGAAAACTGTATCTAAAACAGGCCACACAAGTGTTGACAGTAGAAGGAGCACAGTACCAGAAATCTGAGCCCAGTTGCATTAAGTCCTTCAGGACTGAATTCCCTCCTCTGTAAAATGAGGGCTGTGGTTACCAACTACGGAAGCTCTGTGACCTTCTCAAAAGCTAACGTTTTAGGCAGTGGAGTGTCCCACTCTGAAGGGTCAGGGAAGTGGTGGTAATCAGGAGGTTGCAGAAATCGGGGTGAGGCACCCATCCTCTGCCACACAGACTCCTCTGCATACCTGGAAAACCTGAAGCCAAGGAGGCAAAGCATTATCTGCCCCGATGGAAGGGATGCCAGAAAATGACTACAGGTGGACCACAGAATTTCCAAAGGCAGCTGGCTATACCCTGGAGGCCGAGTTCCCAGATCCGGGATCTCAGCAATCGACACCTGAGAAAGATTTTTCTGAAGCTGCCACCTCCAGTTCTAAAGTAACCCCGTGTTTCAGGTTGGGGCTGGAACAGTGGCAAACCTGCAAAGCCGGTAGCAACAGGAGGAAGTGGAAAAGGAGGGGAAGATGGGCGGGGCTCAGTTCAGTTCTCAGGGACGATGACAAGTCTAGAAATGACGGCAGAGAACCCAGAATGCATGGGGAGGGGATTTCACCGCTGCATTCCCGGGGCCAGACCGTACTCTTGGTTTTGGCAAACTTTCCCTGACAAAAGCCAATGTTCTCACCACATAAATACTCTTCGACATTAATAACAACAGCCTATGAGACCAATACCTGTAAAGATGCCAGGTTGCCTGCAGATGAGCTGGAAATACCTTGGAGAGTTTCACAAAAATGAGACACAGGGCAATGAAGCTCCGGGAAAGGAGATGGAGCGTGGATTCTTTAAAGAAGGTGGGAGGGAGAATGCAAAGGGCTCACACGTTCAAGCCTTTCAAAATGGGACACGTTTGCCTCAAGCCAGCTGAGTAGCTGCAGCCCTGCCTCGTACCCTTCACAGAAGAGCAGCTGTGGACTTAGGCTGAGTCCCTGAGGGCCGATACCTGAGGTGTCACCGCCATCCAGTGGAACCAGGGGGGGATGGCCGCTGTGGACGGCCTCAGCCTAAAGTGAGAGGCAGAGACGACGCTCGGTCTATTTCTCAACTGACAGTGAAAGATGAGGGGAAGGTTGCTGAGCTTCATTTCATTATCACCCATTTAGTTACGAGGGGATGCCGTTCTGGTTTCCAGCCATCAATCAACCGGCGTCACTCAAGGACCAGGCTGGGCTAAATTTGCACATTCTATTTCAGCCCAGGTGGAGATGGAGACTTACAGGAGGGCTTTGAAACACTGTTCTCCAGTAGCATAGCGGTCCTCAGATTCCCAAACCTCCAGTCCCTGAGATGTCCCTGTTTTAATAAAAGCGTTTCATTATGTCCAGAAGACAGAGACCTGAAGTCAGGTTAGCATGTGTGAGGGGACAGGGGTAGCAAGTGCTATTTGAATGGGCAGCATTCTTCTGCCACCTGGAAAGAAAAAGAACTCAGTGAGGTCATGATCTACTTGTCCAAACTGTACTTTTCTTTTTTTAATGTTTTTGGCCATGCCACATGGGATCTTAGTTCCCCAACCAGGGATCGAACCCATGCCCCCTGCAGTGGAAGAGTGGAGGCTTAACCACGGGACTGCCAGGGAAGTCCCCAAACTGTATTTCTTGGAGGAGAAACCAATCTCCAGCGATGGGTGCCACTTCCATGCCCTCTCCTGTTTTTTGTTTGTTTTTTTAAATTTCTTTCTTTCTTTCTTTTATTTATTTATTTTTTGGCTGTGTTGGGTCGTCGCTGCTGTGCGCGGGCTTTCTCTAGTTGCGGCGAGCGGGGGCTACTCTTCGTTGTGGTGCGCGGGGTTCTCATTGCAGTGGATTCCCTTGTTGTGGAGCACGGGCTCTAGGTGAGTGGGCTTCAGTAGTTGTGACACGCGGGCTCAGTAGTTGTGGCTTGCGGGCTCTTGAGCGCAGGCTCAGTAGCTGTGGCACACGGGCTTAGTTGCTCCGCAGCATGTGGGATCTTCCCGGGCCAGGGCTCAAACCCCTGTCTCTTGCATTGGCGGGCAGATTCTTAACCACTGCGCCACCAGGGAAGCCCCCATCTCCTGAGCCTTTTGAAGAGGCTTGAGCATGGCCATCACGGGGCTACAAAGGCCTGGCACATTCTTTCCTTAATAAGAAAGCAAACCCAGGGTATTTTGTGGCTTTACCTCTCACTCAGCCCCCTTTGCTTGGTTGACAGGCCAGAGACAGAGAAGGAAAGAAAGGATGGAAGGAAATACATGTTTCTTGAGTATCCACACTGCGATAGATAATATCCATGAAACAATACTGTTTTCTCTTCACAACAAACCTCACTGGGTTATGGCCTCTTTGGGAAGACTTGAATGGTCTTCCCATCATTTGTAATTCCCCTTTTCAATACAAAGCTGGGCTATTGTGAGTGCGAAATCATATGGCAAACAATCAACTAAATCTCTGTGGAATGTCAATATCCCTAATTCGGCAAGTGATTAATTCCTCTCCAACCTCTCCCCAGAAAACTGGGTTTTCTTTGTGATGAGAAGCCAAGTGTCAGGCTCTTAGGCAGTAACTCCCTAACTCAGCTATAATCTCGTAAAGGTCATTCAGTTTCTGGGCATGTGGGGATTTCTTTTTTTCTCCTTCAACCAAAAGCGAGTTTCAATTGTCCTGCCCCGCAAAGCCGTTCCTGGGATTAAGCAAATGATCATTGTTAGGTACCCTTGTCTTTTCCGAGAGATATTATGAACAAATTCTCTCAAATTAGGGATCTGGATTTACCCCCTCCTACAATTAAACCTCAGATGAAACGAGAAACTGCCTTTGAGGTCTCCTGCCTGTCTGACCCGGGCTGCCAAACCCCATTCTGAAATTGCCACTCCTCTGTTTCCTGGAGCAAAGCTTCAGGTCCGTGACCCTTCCCAGCTTCCCCCTCACCTTTGCCGCTCACCCCCAAAACTGGGGAACACACACTTGTCGTAGACGTTAAGGAGGAGGAAAGAAAGGTCAAGTCCACACCCAGTGGGACTGAACCTTGAACTTCAGTTCCCCCGTGAAGACGAGAGCGAGCCTGCGACTCTTCCCGTGTCCGGTGTCCACCGCTCACACTGCCACAGCAACAGTCCAAGAGCTGCCACCACACCTTTATTGCATCTCCAGTGAAGAATGGTGAGTAACTTATTTTACAAGGCACGCTCCCCCGTGAGTGGACTATACCCACTTCCAGAACACAGGGGGTGAACACGGTCTGAGGAGCGAGGGGATGGGAGAGTCAGTGCTTAGAGCACTGAGCAGAACTTAGAGCAACCCAGTGCCCACATTCTCCTGGCAGAGAGAAACTGGGCTTGTCCATGCTGGTGAGGGCTGGAGGGAGATCTCCCGGTGAAGCACAGGGGGCAGGGACGTGAGTCTGGGGACCAACGGTGAGTCTGGGAGTGAATTGGCGCTGGGGGCCGTGGTTAGGCAGCATCACAGAGGTTAGCAAATTTCGGGTGACTTTTAGCCTCTGCCATCCGGGCATGAAGGGAGGTGTGGGTAAGTTGGCTTCCAGTGTAGATGTGGGCAGGGTGATCTGAGAGACGGGCCTTTGCTGGTTTGCTCAGATTTGCAGCTCTGCTCTGAGCCAAGCGTTTCTCACAGAATCAGCCCACAGTTGGAAAAGTTGGCTTCTGAGGCTGAATGAGCCAGTGTGTGGTCAGATGACCAGAGCCTGAGTCATGTGTAAGATGGCAGGGATGGTTAAGGGCCACCCTGAGTTGCCCGAGACTCCCACTCCAGAGACGTAGCCTAACTATGGGACAGAGGAAACAACTACAGTGCTGCTGAGAACCGCGGTCCCGTCGGCCCTCATTAACCCCAGAACAGAAGAATCATGGCTGAAGGCTGCAGGGAGGCGAGGTCTTCCTGTGATGTTCTGTACAGCTTCCTGGGAGGACTCAGGACTCAGCTCACATCCCACGAACTCCCCGCTGGCTCTGCTGACTTGCTGTGTTCATCCCACCCTTCGGGACGTGTTAACTGACATCTTTCCTTCCTTCATAGTCACTGTAAGGGCTAACCCGAGACTGGGCCCGCGGAATGGAGAAATCCTTTGGGGAGTTCCGACTCTGAAAAGCAAACACTCATATTGTCCAACCCACTCCACTTCCCGGCCATTTCCACGGCACTCTGCACTCCAACCTGGGCAGGAGTCTAACTTTCCTTCCCTTCCTCTAAGCCCTCCCTTGCCCTGCACTCCAGTCTCCTGTCCTAATCCCATGAGGCAGATTCCAGGAAAGTAGACCCGCGATCCTTTCTAGGTGGCATCTAGGGGCCATCAGAGTGGCAACATCATCTATTCCCAAAGGACAAATGCTCCTGGGGTGCTAACACTGCTGATGAAGAAAAGAGAAAGAGCTCACTTACCTGCAGCTGGAAATGGGTGGAGTACGGGGTATAGAACGTGTCACCTGTCTCTTCAGTACCTGAAACAGACAATGCAGATTAGGTAAATGTCAGGGTTCCCTCCTTGACAGCCCCCCCACCTGTGCTCACCCCAGTTGAGTTATTTACAAAGCATGATGCTTTATCCCTTTAATTCTCTGTTTCCCTGGTAGATGGTCAGTTTCATGTGGAGGGGACTGTATCCTCAAGCCCAGGCACAGAGTCAGCCCAAAACTCGTTGAACAAATGAATAACTAGCCACGTATAATCCCTAGGGAAATGCTTTCCAAAACCTCTCCAGAGCCCTCCTCATCCTAGGACCACTCCAAAAGAACATCTGACACCGGTCTTTTCAGACATAGATCTGGCTGGAGGTGTACCTAAAGAGAATCTCAGTGGAGATTTACCCACTTCCTTACGTGCCCAACCAGGGGGGGAAAGA